ATCTTTCATGAGGCGTCAAGAGCATGGCACTGCGATGTTGCTCTGTTTCTGTTAGAAAAGGGGGCTGATATCAACAAGGCAGATAGGTATGGACGGACGGCTATGCATGTTGCCGCTGCTGTGGATTATGCCGAAATGATTCAGTTTCTTTTTGAACATGGGGGTGAGTGATAGGTTCTGGGAATTATAAGTTGAAATGGATAAGGGGGAGGGGGGCATATAAAACACAAAAGGGGTGATGAAATAAAACATTCTAAAGTTTCTTTAGTTCCAAAGGACCACCAGCACTTCTTTAGAAATACGGTAATATATATGTTTTAAGTTAGTAACATCTGTTACATATCATTTAATAATTAATCTCTAGAAAAATTATCTCCTGCTGTTTGCCAAATGGCTAGACAATGAAAGTTTTGTCTGCAATGAGCAGAAAGCTACAGATTGAGTTGGACTCAACTATCTGAAAAATATGTAAGACTTCATGCAATGTTTCGATCAAGGGTCAGTTCACTCAAAACGAAGAGCCTTCACTCAAAACATCGAAGACTTTTCTTGTATTTTTCAGGTAGTTGAATCAATCTCAGTTTTCTGGTGTTATTGTCAATGCCTACGCTGGCACAGTTTATATCTGCAATCTGCATTGGAGTTTATATCTGCAATGGGCAGTCCTTCTGTCATATATGAGCTCATTACATAAGGTTTGCACCCTTTATTCAAGTAGAGAGGGGCCTGTACCGGTTTTGCAGGATGCGTCTAAAATTCAAGTGGGATTCGGTATTTTAAGAGAAATATTGGCGGGAAGCGAGATTTTATTCCATTGCGGGAAGTGGGATTAATAAATTAAAATACCGTGGGGATATGCAGGAATTAGACTAACCCACGATTAGTGGGATAAATCAACAAAACTTGTAGCCGTACGTTAGCTGTCTATTGTCATTTGTTTGTGTGTTCAAAATTTACTGTTTTCAAGGATGATATCGAACATTTGTCCCCCATCAATCCACCATTTACATGTATGATTGCTAAGAGTCACGATTTAGAGTCATTTATTATTTTAAACTTTGTTGTATTGTATTCTAGATAGTGTATTCAAATTGTATTTTATGTCGTTACCATATTCTTTAAATCATATTATGTTGAACAGTGTTAAAAAAAAAGTCAGGAGCGGGAAATTGGGATGACGCGCATGGCGGGATAACAGGATTTGAAGTGAAAATCGGTCAGGATGGCGGCATTTTGGAACCCGCGGTACAGGCCCCTCAGTAGAATTGCGGCAACCAGCTCCTCTGGCTGTTGCTCACTACTACTTTTTGGTTTGAAATTTCAAAATATTTAATTATTTTTAACTCCTACAATATGCTTTATTTTTCTTCCTGTATTTAAAAAAAATGTAATATGAAACAGTGTCAATAAAATTTTGAATTGAATTTTGAAATGAATAGAAGCATGCACCTTCCTCCTCTAAATATATTGACAAACAATGTGTCTTTTACCTCTCCATTACAGCTGACTTGAGTGCTCGTACGTATGGTGAAAATCAAACCCCGGTACATTACGCTGCAAAGAATGATGCAGACAATGCATTACAGGAGTTGATAAATATTGGTGCAGATGTGAATTGTAGAGATTACAAACAGAGGACACCCTTGCATGTGGCTGCTGAATTGGGTATGTTGTTGGTGTGACATGATGTTGTCTTTAAGGCTTTTTGTCTGCTATTAAACTGTTCAAGTTTTCTCAGATTGGTCAGTTAGTTAGACAATCAATCAGTTAGGGACAGCCCCCGTGGACCGGGCCGTACGCAGGTTTTTTCACCAGGGGGCCAGCAATACCTATATGCTGAAATAGGCACCGAAATCATCAAAATGTCAATGCATTCAGAGTGATATCAGTTAGATACATGCTTATCCTTATGGCTGCCCCATACAGAATCAAATAAAATTATTCTGATTCACAACTGCTATTTGGCTTAATAATTTATAACGTTAAGTATATGGTTAGTTTAGTGAATGAGTTATGGTCCTATCAATCAACAGATCAGTGAATCAACATGTGATTAACCTTGCCTTTAGATCGTTCAGAAACAGCAAAATTACTTATTTCCCTCGACGTACCTGCTGGAGTTTGTGACGAGAATGGCGTGACTGCAATGTCCTTGATGGTCTCAAAAATGCCACCAGTTGCAAAAGAAGCATTGGACCAATTTCACAGCCTGGACCGAGCTAACCGCAAACAGTACTACTACCTAAACCATCTAGAACCCGGCAAGCCCGGCGAAGATGGCCATGTCTTTGCAAAAACACCTCTGGAGGAGGCTGTACGCTACAAACAAATGGATCTTATCATGCATCCAGTGTTCAAACGACTTATTCAAGTCAAGTGGGAACATTTCGGCAAAACTGGTTCGATGATTCAAGTTTTTGTGCAGCTGTTGTATTGTTTACTATGGACGGTGTTGGGAATAACCCTCCCTCGGACGGCCGCGTCCAGCTGGAGTTACTACGACCCACCCAGTAAATACTGGTGGAGAATTGTGTTAGAATCTTTAGCTGTCAGTATTACTGCCTTGTTCATTTGGCAAGAAATTGCTGAGGTAGATTTTGTTTAATTAAAATCTCCCCATTGCAATTTTACTGTCTAAAACCGTAGGCAGCCCAGCCAATATATGTATTCACTTAAAGGGGAAGTCAAGTCCGTTCTGCGCATCGGTTCTGCGCATAACAATAGAGGGCCCTCTGAGGTAAACATTGCCCAAATTTTGAATGTTTCGAATTTTTCTGAACACAAACTCTATTTCATATTCATGTAGAAGCATAACGAACCAAAATGGTGTTAGATATTCAGACAGTACATCATATTTTAAAAAATACAGCAGTTCAAAATGTAAACAAACCGTTTGTTTACATTACGGACTTGACTTCCCCTTTAAGAATGCGTTAAAGGCTTAAAAATGCGAATAAAGTTCGTTTGATTTTGCTATCCAGTGATTTGTGTAGCTCATTATTAAACTGAGTAGATACATACAGAGCTGTAACTGGCCGTCGTATAAACACTATAAACACTAGCTTTCATGTACCCACTTTTTTTCAGGCAACCGGGCAAAAGTGATCACCTGTGCGTGGTCGGCAAGTTCCGCGAGCAGTTAAAGCGAGCCGCCATCCAATGGGATGCATGCATCTAGTAACTTGCCAAGTATCAGTATGCGCACAAAAAAAGTGGGTACACTAGTTATAACTCTGTATATGTATCTACTCTGTGTCATTATGTATGCAGATTCACATGGTTACGTCATTATGACAATACAATGACGTAACCATGTGAATCTCCATACATAATGAGCTACATAATAAATCACTTGATAGTCAAAATGAGACGAACTTTATCAGACGAATCGTATTTTTTAAGTGAATACAATCATGGCTAAAATCAAGTCCATGGTTTTTTCCAGATCTTCCTATATTTTACGTTCTACGATTCATGTAGGTTCACCAGTCTCGAAAACAACACGAGAGATGGAAAAATTGGAGAATTGAGGAACTAAATCGTGATCTAAAGTATTGTCACCCCCGCTGGCCCGAGGAATGCAAGTATATCGAGATGGAAATTGCCAGTATTTCATCACAAGGAATATCATATTTCGAAAGTTACTGGAATTATTTTGATTGGGTGACCTATTTCGGGATACTAACGGTCATTCTGACGCGAATTCTATCCGTTGCCATTGACAACAGTACAGCCAACGAGCTTCACCCTAAGGTTGGGAATTTCGTTTGTTCAAAGTTCTAAGCCTAAACCAACTTTATTTATACTGGATAGCTCTATCAGTACTAGTTATCAGTTATAAACTGTCCTCCCCTAGAGGTCCAGTAAGAGTCATCTTTTAGTGATCCAGTGTTACTACATGAGGAAACCTAAACTAAACTAAACTAACTTTATTTAGTACTGGATAGCTCTATCAGTTCTGAACTGTTCTTCCTAGAGGTCCCGTAGGAGTAATCTCTTATTGATTCAGTGTTACTACAGGAGGAAACCTGAACTAAACTAACTTTATTTATACTGAGTAGCTCTATCAGTTCTGAACTGTTCTATCTATAGGTCCTGTAAACATCTCCTCTTGGACAAGTGTTGCTACAGGAGGTCCGAGGAAACCTAAACTAAAATCTAAATTAACTTTGTTTCTACTGGATAGTTTTGTAAGTTCCAAACTGTTCCTATGGGCCATCCGTTATTGGTCAAATATTTCTACGAGAGGGAACCACCAGGAGAACACCAGTAGTGTTTGCTAGAGTCAAACTACCAGCACTGTTCTCACATACGACTGAGTCGAAATTATAATAAGACAACTGCATATTGTCGGAATCCAACTGGGGGGAAACAATGTGTCTTCAGAAACTGTGATATAATGTTAGATGTAATATTTCAAATCCGACTATGTGGACTGGACTAGATTTCAAGTTCGCGCAATTTGATCACGTCCGAGGCGAGGCCGAGGACTGGATCAAAATGCATGCGAGGAATTTGAAATCTAGTCCAGTCCTCATAGTCGGATTTGAAATCACATCTCATGCGAATAAATCACTATTTAATTAATTTTGATCCAGTTCAAGGACTGAATTAATTTTGATCCAGTCCTAGGACTGGATCAATGTACTTCACCAGGCATCTAGTATTATCATGTGAGCAAAATAAAGCAATATGGTTGGCTAATTTACTCATGAATTATTAAGAGGCAACTTTTTTCAATATCACGTATTTGCAATGAAAAGTGTTCAAAACCTAAAATCTTTTTGGCGTTCCTCTCAAAATTACTTTGTTTTAGCTTTATTCTCTAGTTTATAGAGTTAGCTACCTTTTTAAATGCATCTTCCGGTTGAGAAACATAAAATAATAGTTAAAAATTGGCAATTAAAATACAATTATCAATGTTGCTTTAAAATTGACGCCTTATTTACAGCCATATATGAGCAAAACTTACTGAACTTCAGACATAATTTTCTCTTTGGCGTATCATCTAAAATCTCTTCATTTTAGCATTATTTTACAGATAAAGCACTAAACATACTTTTTAAGTTTGTTTGCCGATTGAGAAACGTATCGAAAAATAAAATTTTCAATTTAGTCATAACCTCAAGTGATATATTATACGCATTAGTTTTGAGCGCGTGTTACGTAACATACAAAAAGTCTCTTAATGAGTTTGAGATAAACAAATCATTCCAAATCTTTTTCCAGATCATGTCAATTTCTCTAATCTTCATTTGGCTACGACTGATGAAAGTCTTCCGTGCGTTTGAAGCTCTTGGTCCATTCATCGTCATGATCGGCCATCTCCTCAAAGATACGCTCATCTTCGGATTCCTTTACGTGATGTTCTACATTCCGTTCGTCTGTGCGTTCTGGATAAATTTCGGCGGGGATGTAAACGCCGAAAAAATGAAACAAGCCGGACAGGATTCGGAAGGCTGGCGCACATTTAATAATTTAATGTATTCGGTCTGGGAGATCACTGTCGTTGGAAATTATCCGTGGGATTCGTTGTTGGTCATAGATCGAATCATGGCACAAATCTTATGCGGGACTTATTTGGCTGTGTCGGCTATTGTCTGTTTGAATCTGTTTATCGCGCTAATGTCTGATACGTTTCAGAGGGTGTATGATAATGCGAATGCTAATGCTGTCATGCAGAAGGCAAGCACGATTCTCTCGCTCGAAACAGATATGTCGGGAAGACGTAGAGATATGTTCATGAATCATATTCACACCAGCTGCGCCCCTGAGGTAAGGAACACACTTTTACTTATGGTAGAAGGCTTCTGTAGATGGTATTAGACAGATTTAGATCGAGGACGCGGACGTCAAAGACGACGTGAAAATGGCGTCATAATGGCGTGGCATATCCATGCATGGGCACAACACGACATTTTCACGTCGTCTTTGACGTCCGCGTCCTCAATCTAAATCTGTCTATTTGAGTGTACGGCGAATTTCGCCAGCGCTAAGAAGACATTTGACAGCCATTCGCCGGAGGCTGTGTGTAATTCGCCGGTACTTGCAGTCATGACAACCTGAAATTTTTAGCTCAGTCTTGCACTCGGACAATATACCAAATAGACAAAGCTTGCAAGCCTTTGCCCACCACTCAACTCACAGTGTCAGTGCCTTTGAAGCTTCGACCTACCATTCTTTGCATACTCGCTTCGCTCATCAATTAATAGCCGGAGCCTCAGTAGAGCAAAACAGTATTGGCCACACCCAAATTATTATTAGCCAGGACTTCAAACGGATACCTTAAGGACTGTCTCTCTGTAGCTCAGTGTGCGCACAGGCTACAGTAAGAATCCTAGCCTGCGAACAGGCCCTCAAGCTGAATTGAGAGCCTGCATCGATGACCAATAAATTTGAATATCTGCGTCTCAAATCGTGACGCGATATTCTCATTGGTCAGATGCTATAATTTATATGTTTCCGCTGAGCTCTATATATGCCAACTGCTGATGCACTATGCATAAAAAACACATTAACTGATCAAATTGGTCTTGGCCATCTTATCTCAAAGCACGAAATGTTCTGTTTTGAGAAAACAGTATTTAAAACATTTGAACTTTTGCTTGAATATCTTATATTTCGAAAAACAGTATAAACTGTACGGTCTAAATTTAGTTTGCACGGTCTAAATTTAGTTTGCGCGAAAGTTGTAAACACTACCATATAAGGATAGACATTCCATATTTGGAAAAACGAACGTTACGGGGCAGATATTCAAATTCATTAGCCATCGATGCAGGCTCTCAATTCAGCTTGAGAGCCTGTTCGCAGGCTATAAGAATCCTACCTAGTTAGAGCACTGCACCAGGGACGCAGGTGCGTTTCCTGTCAGAGGGCCAGTTGCATTTTTCACAACTGCGCCTGTTTAGGGTCTAACAAATGTATAAAAATTCACACTCAAAATCACCATCTACAAATCCCTTCGACGATCATTTTTTGTTAGGCCTTGTGTGATGACACAGTCTTCTTTGTAGTTAAAATGTCTGCACGTACACTAATGTTATACAACAGTATATGATGTATTGTTCTCTGATTCTGTATTATAGGAGATGTACTATGACGATGACTCGGTCGAACCGGACTCGGGTGAACTGGAAAAACTTACGCATCAGATAAATGATAAAGTTGTGGAAGTTGAAGAAATGGTGAAAACATCTTTAGAGGAAAGGAAAAATGAAACTTTTCAGAATAAACAATCTGTAGACAGGTAATGCTTGAAGTAGGGATCAATATTACCTTCCTTGCCACAGGAAGAAACCTAAACTAAACTAAACTAATTTTATTTATACTGGATAGCTCTATCAGTTCTAAACTGTTCTCCCTAAAGGTCCTGTAAGAATCATCCCTTATTGACCCAATGTTACCACAGGAGGAGGAAACCTACACTAATTTTATACTGGATAGCTCTATTAGTTCTAAAATGTTCTCCTATGTTCAGTAAGGATCATCTCTTATTGATCCAGTGTTACTACAGGAGGAAACCTAAACTAATACCAGGCATATTTTTCAAGCCTGCCCGGTGTGGATATACACTCAGAGTAACATCACAAGCATCAGTTCTAAACTGTTCTCCCCAGAGGTCAAAGAATGACCATCTCTGCGTTTGTCCAGTGTTGGGACATGCAGTGAAAATTGGGATATGTGGGGAAAACCTGAGGTGTCACATGCAACCATGAGGTGTCATGTTCTCCAGGAAAGAACAGTTTAGAGCTACCCAGAGTTAAATGAGCTTTGTTCTTTATGTAGTTTGCGTGAAGACTTACTGCAGGTGATTGAACGTCAAAATTATGAAATGACAGCCATGAAAAGAGATCTAACTGATATCAAGCGTCTCCTCGCGCAAACTCTCGTCCAAGGACAAGTGCAGACGTCAGCCTCTATCACTCTGCCCACCAATGCGATGCCAGCTCGAACCGAAGGCCCTGGGTCTAGTAAACCCCACAAGCATCATGGGAAAGCCTCGCGGATGGGACCACAAGATAGCATACACCAGGATGCGAATCGAGCAGATGACGAGCCTGGTCGAAGCACTTTGCTACCTCAAGTAGACTCAAGACGAAGACATATAGCCACCGGCACTTCGTCACTACCGGGGATTGATATTCGTAGACAGCCCGCGAGAGATGTAGCGCTCGTAGCTCCCCGACAGGACCCGGGAACGAATGGGTCAGCTTGCTGATGTTGTACTCGTCATGAGATAATTTTGAGTTTACTAGTGTAGGGGCTGTTCATATGAGTCGGGCCAATCCATCTTGCGGATAATATAGCCCTGCCAAGTTTGCCGTTTTTTAGTCATTTTGTATTACGCACGGGAAATTGATACCTTTTTTCAGAAAACAGTATCAATTTCCCTTACGTAATACAAAATGACTGAAAAACGGCAAACTTCGCGGGACAACATTTCGCAACGAAACTTCGGAATATTACTAATTTTGTGACTATTACTAGACTTGTCTAGATCAAAATTTTGTTAATTAGGTAATAGGTCCAAGCCATGATAAGAGCTTTATTAAACGATTCATCCCGATTAACCGGGCCAGCCCAAGGCCAGCCCGACTCCAAATGAACAGCCCCTTAGGCCTGGGCAAATTAGCCTGGCAATATACGTTTGAAAATGTTAACTTGATGTTTTTTTATACATTCCACCATTTGTCCACCCTTGGAAACAGTCGCTGTTGGGAAAGTTTAATATAGAATAATGTAATATAGACATAGTGGTTGATATAGATAGTTCTTTAAAAATATTTTTATGCAGTCATTGTCAACGGCATCTTTGTTTGAGTATTACTTGTGTTTGTAAATTTAAACATCGATTTAAGCCATTATCTTGTAGTGTGTAACATGACCAAAAACGCTTTTGTCTCAAGTGTTGTTACAAGTCTACAAACAAGTTGTTACAAATCTGTTCACAAGCTGTCGACAAGTTGTGTTCGCACTGCTTGTTCCCAGTTGTTGTAACAAGTTTGGAACAAGCTGTTAACAACTTGTAGCAAGCTTGATGGCATTATCAGACTTGTTACAAGGTTGTTCTAACAAGTCTGATACAGTCATGATATAACAAGAGTGTTACAAGGTTGATCACAAAAGGTTGTAACAATATTGTTATATCAGGACTGTATCGGACTTGTTGGAACAACCTTGTAACATAGACATCTGATAATATCAACAAGGTTGTTACAAGTTGTTGACAACTTGTTCTAAACTTGTTGAAAACTTGGGACAAGCAGTGCGAACACAACTTGTTGACAGCTTGTTGGCAGACATGTTGACTATTTTAGCAATACACGAACGCTTCATGAGAAAATAGATTATAAAATAACATGTACATAACGCGTATTCTGATTGGTCGAAAGCCGTGTTTGGATCAAGCCATCCAAACACGGAAGACTATCGTGTCGTTGTTATTTTATAAAACAATTACTTTATGGTTTCCGTGCTTGGATGGAATGATCCAAACACTTGGGAATGTTGCTCGAGTTAAGTAAAGCGGGCAAAATCACTCGCCTTCGGCTCGTGTTTTCGCTCGCTTTTCTTAACCCTCGCAACATTCCCGCGTGTTTGGATCAGGCCATCCAAACACGGAAACCATAAAGTAATTGTATAATGTTTGTATCTGCAAGTGTCCATTCTATTACACGTGTACAAAACTCACATCTTGTAGCAAGTCTGTCAACAAGTTGTGTTTAACAAACTTGTAACAACCTTGTTGATATTATCAGACTTGTTACAAGGTTGTTCCAACAAGTCCAATACAGTCATGATATGGCAGTATTGTTACAACCTTGTGTCGTCAACCTTGTAGCATTCTTGTTTATCATGACTGTATCAGACTTGTTAGAACAACCTTGTAACAAGTCTGATAATGTCATCAAGCTTGTCACAAGTTGTTAACAGCTTGTTCCAAACTTGTTCCAAACTTGTTACAACAACTGGGAACAAGCAGTACGAACATAACTTGTTGACAGCTTGTGAACAGATTTGTAACAACTTGTTTGCAGACTTGTAACAACTTGTGCGTTTTTACGTGTGTAGTAAGGCTCGTCCTCGGTTGACCGGTGTTCAAGTTTTATATGAATTGTAAACGTGTTCTCGTTCTAGGCCCAGCATCTCCAACCGTTCAAGACAACACAGACTCAGAACCTCAGGTATTTTTGTCCTCAATAGCGTAAAATTCTCACATCTTGTAGCAAGTCTGTCAACAAGTTGTGCTCAACAAACTTGTAACAACCTTGTTGATATTATCAGACTTGTTGCAAGGTTGTTCCAACAAGTCTGCTACAGTCTTGATATGAGACCATATAACAATATTGTTCCAACCTTGTGTCATCAACCTTGCAACATTCTTGTTATATCATGACTGTATCAGACTTGTCAGAAGTCTGATAATGCCATCAAGCTTGTTACAAGTTGTTAACAGCTTGTACCATATTTTTTACGTAACCGGGGGGGGAGGGGAGGGGGGGACGACTCGAACAAGAAATGGAATCGGGTGCAGGAAGGCAACAAAATGGCAGCTCATTTGAGCGGAGGTCGAGTAAATATAGGTTTATTACGCGAAGCAGCGAGAAAGGAGTTGCTGAATTGTCTTGATAAATGTCCGGGGAGCAAGGTAAGATACATCAACTTCTATTTGGAAGCAATTTAGTTTAGGATTTTTGCATTTTTACATGCGATCACAGCTAGTTTTATTTCCATACATAGTATGTTGTTTTATTTTCCATTAAATTTTGGGTGTCCAATTTCCAAGCGTTCCAGTGAGTTAGCTACTTAGCTAAGTAGTTACTGAATGCATATGTCATCAAACACATGCAAACACACACTGAAATGCATGTATCACTTGCAGGCACTTGCATTTAATACTTTGATCAGTCAGGCCTTAAAATATCGGTCGGTCACGGACATATTTGTCCGACCCATTCGTGAAATTGTCCGACGTAGTGATCAGGGGCGTAGGAAGCATCAAAAGATTGGGGGCACTGGCTTCTAGGGCACTTTAGGGTAGTGAAAAGGGCATCTAAAAATTTTTTTTCCTCGGAAATGTTGGCGACGTGGGGGGGGGGGGAGGAGGGGAAAAGAAAAATTTTCCAGTCGTACCATACCAAAATTGCACGTTTTTGACCAAATTTTTTTAAAAAACTTGTAAATTTCCAAACAAAAAGGGCACCTTTGATGTTAATTTAGTATTTACAGCGACATTAGCTTGTACAAAAAGGGCACTTTTCATCACAAAAAAGGGCACTTTTCATCACAAAAAAGGGCACTTTTCATCACAAAAAAGGGCACTTTAATTCAGTCCTTTGAAAAAATTTGGGGGGCCACGTGCCCCCCCCCCGTTCCTACGCCCTAGTGAGGAAACCACCGGACATTCTGTCCGACCTAAGTGAAACTGAGGTTGATTGTTTGTCCGACCCGAGTGTATTGGTGTCCGACCGAACGGTAGCTTTGTCCAATTGTCCAACATATAAATCAAAGTGTACCCTAGTCCAGGACTAGAGGCTCGACTATGTTAAATAAAAAGTGAACTGGAAATGTTGTTTTAATGCAATCGAGGGCGGGAGCGAAATGGTGAAGTGGAAAACAGGCTTATTGCTTAAGTTGACAAAGTCTTACTGCTGTAATTGGCAAGCAAGTTAATTTGGCTTGGAAATAAGTATGAATGACACAAATTATTTAATAGTTTCACAACATTTTACGTTCAGAATTAATACATTGTGCTGATATTAGTTTGTGACATTCAGACTTATTTCGGAGCCAAACTGAACTGAAGGTCATCGGCATTGGGTCGTTCCAGAAAAGATTCATACTCCCCCCACGGAGGAAATTTCTGCTATCCGGATGGCGAGGGGATAGAAAAAATTGTTTCTGATAATAGTAAATGTATCAGGAAATCCAAAGGGGGTAGGGGGTTAACTAATTCCTATTTCCTCCGTGGGGGTGGTATGGATGTTTTCTGGAATGACACATTATCACACACATGTCCGACCCAAACTCACAGTCATTGGACATTTTGTCAGACGGCCCTGTAAACGATATTTTAAGGCCTGCAAAAATTTAATGTGGTATATATACTGTCATTGTTTTAGGCTTTGGTTTGGGACAACCAGTTGACTGCACCATTTGGTTTGATTGCCGAATATTCTCTGTTGAAGGTATTGACAATTATATGAGCAATATCATTGTAATCAATAATTTAATCAATGGCTTGATAAAGACAATCAGATAATCGGTAAATTTTTTTTGGAAGATAAATCATGGTTTTAATTATTCATTTGTTAATTTAGGAACATGAAGTTGATGCGATGTACCCTCTACAATCTGGCCGTCTTCCCACAAATAGTGTTCAACATATGATCTTCATAACTCGAGCTAAAGTTTCCCACATGGAGATTATTGCAGATATTGTTTTTGGGTAAATTATGACATCATCATTATCATATTGCAAAGTGTTTTAAAAGTTTGATGCCGCACAGACTTATTTTGGCACTGAATCTAAATCTGGGTTTTGGGTCTTGCACAAGTAGGGGGGTCTGGGGCATATTTTCCCAAGATCTGCATTCTGATTGAGCGTCAAATTTCTAACAATAATGTCATATTAGTCTGACGAAGCCGTATTTTAAACAAAAACTATGACAAACAACAGGAATTTTAATTTAGAAACTTAATTTTTAGGATTAAATACTAAATGCCCCAACTGCATTTTGACATCCCCCCTTGAAACCATCGCCTCAGTCACCAAGTCACTGCATGTTTCTGATTGAATAACTAATCATGTACTTCACAGAACATTTTAGACACCTGTGTACTGTACAAGTGCTAGCTAGTATGGGTTTACAATATATCTTTAGTGAGGAAGATCGAACAAGCAAGAAAGATTATACAGTTTTATTTGTTCCAAGAAAGACTTTACTTTGTGAAAAACATCTCCAGGTAAAAATACTTTGCTAGCCATGTGAGAGTTTTGTCACTGATTCATTTTACTCAAAATGTCTGGAATGAGAATCAAATACAATTGCTCAAATTATACCAAACAATTTAGGGTTTAGGAGTGAGTTATATTACATTGGATGAATACCCTTTGGATTTGATTCCATTTGAAAATGATTTGCTCTCGTTGGAAATGGAAAGTGCGTTCAAGGTACGTTCCTGTAGCAATGCAAGTGAAGTTAACTTTATGGCTATTCCATTCCAAGGTATCGAATAGACAATTCCCATAAAAGACTAATTTTAAACCTAGGCAAGGAGATGCAAATAAGTCACCACAGCTAGAAAGAGCATACTAAAAAGAGTAAAATTGCAAAGTTTGGTTGCAAAATGTTGTAAAATGCGGAAAGTATAGCCTTGCAAAGTTTGCAAATTTTATATACTTTTGTATTGCGTGCGGAAATTGCTACCATTTTCGGCCCAAATTAAATGTGGCAGCAATTTCCGCACACAATAAAAAAGTATACAAAATTTACGAACTTTGTAAGGCTATATTTTCCGCATTTTACAACATTTTGCAACCAAACATTTTTTACTAATTTTTGTATGCCCTTTTCCGGGAATATACTTTTTTTTTGCCAAGGTAAAAATTTTGTCTATAATGGGAATTTATATCTATTGATGCTGATTTTCTGTTAATTAAATTATTTCTGATCCATCATGCTGGTATTTTAGGAATGTTATTTAGAGAATGATTCAAGTGTTATATATCATGTCACAAATTCCCTGATGAGGATGCAGGCTTTGTATGGAGTAATACCAAAAATTTATGGCAAAGGGGAACTTGCAAAGGTAAGCCTGGCATTCCCGTTGACCAAATTGACAATTAGAGCTTGCAACATAGATAATTGACTAATTGAGCATAGCCTTTGAAACTGAGCTGTAGTTTTATGGTACTAATTTACTTTCTGCTTTGGCTTTATAAACTTAAGTGAGGGAAAAAGTTTCTTTTGTGTTTGACTTTTCTTGCTAATTATCACTCGTACAAACCAGAGATCATGCAGGCCTCAAAATTAGCGGCGACCACTGGCCGTCGATGCCCTGGTTTGCAGGCCTTAAAATATCGGTCGGTCAAGGACATTGTCCGACCCATTTGTGAAATTGTCCGACGTAGAAAGGAAACCACCGGACATTCTGTCCGACCAAAGTGAAACTGAGGTTTATTGTTTGTCCGACCCTAGTGTATTGGTGTCCGACCGAACTGTAGCTTTGTCCAACGTAAATCAAAATGTACCCTAGCCCAGGACTAGAGGCTTGTATGTTAAGTGGAAAGTCAGAGTACTATTGTATAAAAGGTGAACTAGAAATGTTGTTTTAACATAGTCGAGCTCGGGTCGGCGAACAAAGTGAAGTGGAAAACGGGCTTAAGTTGTCGAAGTCTTTTTTAATACTGCTGTTCTGGAAAGCAAGTTAATTTTGGCTTGGAAATAAGTATGAAAGAAACAATTATTTAATATCTTTACAACATTTACCGTTTATTCATTTGTGTCGTTCAGACTTATTTCCGAGTCAAAACTGAACTGAAGGTCATCGGACATATGTCCGACCCAAACTCAACGTCACCGGACATTTTGGCAGACGGCCCTGGAAAAGATATTTTAAGGCCTGTGTTTGTTGGACACTATGCCCTTGAAATATACTGAAATCTACGGCCTGTAGTGGCCTGCTCTCAACCACAGAGTACAGTACTGTACTCATGCCGTTTAGAACACCAAGGGTATGATTTGTAAAATTGGCAATAATCAACTTATGTACTGTACAATCTTAGTACTAGTTATAGTTTAAGTTAATAGTTAGTTACGATAGTTATAAATAAGATATGAATAGTTTCGTTTGGTATTTTTTTTTAATTGTTTATTTTTAATTATTAATCTGTATATTTTTCTTGTCTGCTGGAAACTCAAACGTTATTTGAAACTTCAAAATAGCAACTGAATAAAATTTTCAAACTGGCCCTGATGCCCTGAAAAACTTAGTATAACATTTAAGGCCAAACTGACCTTGCCTTTATTTTTCCCAAATTCGAGGCCTGGTCATGTATACTCTCCATTTATCTGGGGTATACTGTACCATTTTTTCATTCAACCATGTTTTTCAGCGTGCAGTTGACATGATGTTAAGAAAAAGAAGAGAGGTGTTGGATTCAGAAAACCAGATCTCACCTCAAATCGACTGTTTGTTGCTCATTGATAGAAATGTCGATTTACTAACACCATTATGTACGCAGCTTACGTATGAGGGACTTATTGATGAAATGTACGGAATAAATAATAGTAAGTGCAATTGGGTATGGCCTTTAACTCACTGATGCGCCCTACTTTCTTATTTTACTCTGTGTAACGCCAGACGATTTCACTCGTCAAGGGGAGAGTCCTACCTGCAAGTTCCTGAAGCTAACTGCAATCCTTGGTCAGAAGCTAGTCTTATGCATGCTTAAATTAAGTAAGGTAGAACATTTCAAGAACTCCTTTTTCAAATGCCAGAACTCCGTTTTCAAGTGCCAATACTCAGTTTTCAAATGCCGAAACTCAGTTTTCAAAAGTTAAAACTCCGTTTTCAAGTTCCAGAACTCCGTTTTCAAATGCCAAATTTTCAAATGCCAATACTCAGTTTTGAAATGCCAAAACTACGTTTTCAATTGCCAAAACTCCGTTTTCAAATGCCAATACTCAGTTTTCAAATGCCAAAACTCAGTTTTCAAATGCCAGAACTACCTTTTCAAATGCTAAAACTCTGTTTTCAAATGCCAGAACTCCCTTTTCAAATGCCAAAACTCCGGTTTCAAATGCCAGAACTCCGTTTTCAAAAGCCAGAACTCCGTTTTCGGCTTGATATATGAAAATTTTCGACCAATTTTTTTCAGCAAATTAGTGGACACTCAATATTGACAATATGAAACATAACTCAAAAAAATTTCTTCGGTGCCTGGTCCCCTACATGTCGTAATTTGCATTGCAAGCTTCAAGCGAAGCGAGCAAGTTTGGACCATGCAGGCAGGGCTAACTGAAAAAATTTTTTGCCTACCTGCAAAAAAACTAAATATACAGGCATGCTTTATTATTTTACTCTGTCTAACGCCAGACGATTTTACTCGTCAAGGGGAGAGCGCTGGCGCTTAATGGGTTAGTGTTGCTTCTGCAAGCTTGACTAAAGTAGTTGGTTGGTTTCCTAGTTTGTGTTTTGCTCATGAGTTATTAACGGGTCTGAGAAATTAATTTCTATTCTAACTTCAGCCACCGCAAAATTTCCTCCTGAGAAATTTCAAGTTCCAGACGATAAGAAAGCTGGTCCCGCTCAACCAGCGCAGGCTCCTGAGCATAGGAAAATCCCCCTCAACTCCGCTGATCAACTGTACAGCGAGATACGAGACTTGAATTTCTTGGCTGTTGGTCCAGTGTTGAGCAGGAAAGCAAAACAGATCAGTGCCGCATTTGAGGTTGGTTATGCATTTGCATGATAGAGCTTTTGAATAGTTACGAACTCTAAACTAAACTAAAAGAAAACTAACTTTACACTATCAATTCTAAAAAGGGTCGGCGTGTTTTTGTCCAGTGTTACGACAGAAGGACATCTTGACTTGAACTATATCTTTATTTTTACTGGATAGTTCTCTCCCTAGAGTGCAGTAAGCATCTGTTATTGATCTAGTGTTACTACAGGAGGAAACCTAAACTAAACTAACATTATTTTTACTGGATATCGCTATTAGTTCTAAACTGTTCTTCCTAGAGGTCCAGTAAAGATCATCTCTTACTGATCCAGTGTTACTACAGGAGGAAACCTAGACTAAACTAACTTTATTTATACTGGATAGCTCTATCAGTTCTAAACTGTTCTCCCTAGAGGTCCAGTAAGGATCATCTCTTATTGATCCAGTGTTACTACAGGAGGAAACTTGAACTAAACTAACGTTATTTATACTGGATAACTCTATCAGTTTTAAACTGTTCTTGCTGGAGGTCCATTGAAGGTATAATCACTTTTTGGTTGGAAACGCCCAGAGCAAAACCTGCAGCGTTTGGTACTTTGTGTTTGGTAGAGTTTATTGGAATGATTCTTTAAATCGTTTTACTTTTGTTTATTTTTTAGGAGCACAAGGGAGCCAAGACAGTGAGCGAAATGAAACAATTTGTACATAAACTTCCACATATTCAAGCCGCAAAACATTCACTGGCAAACCGTAAGTCCATATTTTAGAGAGTCTTATGACACAGTGGTCAGTACATGCATATGTCCTGGTTCTGCTCTTGCAGGCTTCCATTCCTGCTATATTCTGTTGTGAGCATGCATAGCAGGAAATAATTTTTTTTCTTGGATCCTACGTTTTGGGGTCAATAAATTATTTTCTGCGCCCGCGGTAGCATTATGCAATGTCCTAAAATTTTCTGCCAGCTAAGTCAGGTCTGAAAATGTTCCGAGATCTCAGATGCCAGGGTCCACGGGCCATTATTTTCTGCTATGTATTTTTTCCTGCTTTGTATAATTTGTAACAACTAGATCAGCCCAAGGAGGTCCAGTATAACAGTTTAGCCGGAATAGACCTTTCCCCTTTTGAGTGAAATTTTGATCTAGACAAGTCTGGACAAAAATTTCATCACAGCTTGAAAGAGCATCACAAAATTAGTAATATTCCGAAGTTTCCTTGCGAAATGTTGTAAAATGCGGATAATATAGCCTTGCGAAGATTGCCATTTTTCAGTCATTTTGTGTTACAAATGGGAAATTGACAATCAGTTTGATCATCTGATTATCAATTTCCCATTTGTAATGCAAAATGACTGAAAAACGGCAAACTTCGCATTGCTATATTATCCGCATTTTACAACATTTCGCAACGAAACTTTGGAATATTACTAATTTTGTGATGTTCTTTCAAGCTGTGATGAAATTTTTGTCTAGACTTATCTAGATCAAAATTTCACTCAAAAGGGGGAAAGGTCTATTGATAGAGCTATCCAGTATATAAACGAAGCTAGGTTCGTTTAGGTTTTTAGTATGTTATCCAATGACACTGAATGTTGACGGCATGTTTACTTTCTTTCCAGATACGAGTATAGCTGAATTGATCAAAGAGCACACAGACACGGAGTCGTTTCGAGAAAACCTCCAAGTACAACATGGTAAACATTCCTGTCTGTTCATTATTCTTTGTCAAAAATTACAAACTAGACACTGGACCAGCACGTTTGAGATGTCAACTTTTATTGAACTTTCAATTGTTTAGAATTCATAAGCGGTGTTGACACTGATAAAATAAATCCATACATAGAAAAGTTAATCGCGGTCAAAGAACCTTTAGTGAAGGTAAGTCCAATGTCTTTTATTTTTTGCTTTGCGGGGCAGGAAATGGTGGTGGATACGAAAATTAAATTACTTCTCTCAATTTTATTTATTTCCCGGACAAATATCAAAGTTGCAAAGAATGTTCACTTCGGGTAAAAATTCAAGTTTTGAAACCTTCCTCCAAATAATGTGAATTATGGCTTTTTCAAATTGCAAAATTATACAAAATTATGTCATTCCAAATCGGCTTCTTATCTCCTCCAATATTATCCAATCTGATAATTACCGATACCAGTACAACATCAGCATCCTGCCAACCTCAACCTGGCTAGTCATGTATCTTTTATTTGTTTTATGGTGTTGGTGTTGAGTAAAGTGTTCCACATTAAACCTTCCTCACTGACCTTGCATATGGTAAACCTTCCTCGCGGGTGGTACCCGCAACTGCATGGGCCAAATTCCAGACTATAATAGACCTTTCCCCTTATAACCAAAATTTTGATCTAGGCATGTCTAGACAAATATTTCATCACAGCTTCAAAGAGCATCACAAAATTAGTAATATTCCAAAGTTTCGTTGCGAAATGTTGTAAAATGAGGAAAAATAGAGCCTTGCAAAGTTTGCAATTTTCAGTCATTTTGCATTACAAACGGGAAATTGCAGCCCCAACACCCGAATCGGATGTCAATTTCCCGTTTGTAATACAAAATGACTGAAAAACGGCAAACTTCGCAAGGCCATATTATCCGCATTTTACAAGATTTTGCAACAAAACTTTGGAATATTAC